AGTATGTTATCTTGCTACACCGTTCTTCAACACAAAATTCCTATCTGCAAGCATACGCAGTTCATGAAGTCACTCATTTGTGGCATGGAGGGAGGGAGTGGAAGGAACAGCCCTTTAGGGGGGCAGCATGGAAGTGAATTGCGTTGAGTTTCAAAGTGTACCATAACGTCTGGTCACCGAAGTGAATATTCCTTGGATTGTATGGATTCAATCCGGGCTTGGTTATGCGTAATTCTTGTACTGTATTCATTTGCTGGGTCGAAATGCGGACGACTTGGTTCTTGAGTAAACGCGCACGAGTGGCCTTGAGAACGATTTCGAAGGATTAGGTTTTAAATAAATTGATGACATTGTCGGTATTTCGTGTTATAATTGAATAAAGTTGCTCGCTGGCCTCTGCTTGATGTTAAGTACAGTACTTTTGTATTGTCATTAGCTAGAAATGTTGAACGCTGAGTGAATTTACTGCGCGAGGATCATCTGCTGGAGCCGAGTTGGCAAGTGCCGAGAAGTTTACGGTCACAGCAATTGGCTTTTTCACAGGCAATTCCGCGGTTGTAACCTTCCTCTTTGTGTTCTACACATTTCCTGGAAAATATAAAATTCTGGTCCTGTGTCATTTTTTTTATTCAAGGCATCATAGCGTATTTTCCGTCTATTTTTTTTTATTTGGTTGGGCCGTGCGTTTTGCTTGTTACCAGGGAGACCCCCAACTTCATTCAATATCTTCGTGTGCGCAAATTTGAAACGTTCGGCGCTGTCGAATTTTGTTATTTTGTGAAAATAGTGAAATAAGCAGTTCTGAAAAGTTCCTGCCGTGAAGCGCATTGAGGAAGTAGGGATGTTGGCAAGTGTATGTTTTATTTTATTTTAAGAATTGGTGACGTACAGTGTGTGCGGCGGAGTTTGTTGCAATAATGGAGTTCGGCGAATTTTGCATTACGCGCTGTCTACGTCATCCATGGTCACGGGTGTGTTATTGGAAGATTCGGTACGAACTGCCGGCCAAGACCCCTTCCTGATCCCAACGTCGGCTGGATTCTCTCAGCCGTGATTTGGGCTTCTTGCCCTGCTTTTACGACGTCAACGCTGGCTTGGGTGGCCACCAAACAATTAATGACCTTACCGTATACGAATGGTCAGGTGAGACAGGTCTAGCTTCTTTTCCTCATTGGTTATTTTCATCAGAGAAGTTGGATGAATGAGAACAGTGTGTTTCAGTCATGAGAGGGAGGCAACAGTGGCTCGGAAACCATCGACAAGTTTCACGAGGCATTCACGTGGATTTTCCCTGTGGATGATCATTTTATGGACCCACTTGTGATGTTGCAGGTTTGGGACAACGTGGAGGCATTGAAAGGACGCAAGAACGGATTGTACCATGAGACTGGCGACAGATGGGAAGTGTTACGAGCCACCACCTCGTCTACCAATTAGGAAAGGAAAGATGTCGAAGAAACTGCGTGAAAAACGAGGAGCTATACATGAAGTCCCACTATTGATGTTATTTTTTCTTGATGGTGGTCTTTTTGTTCCGAATGTGTGTTTGGTTCCCTATTCATGAATTCTTTTATGTTACTTCGAGTCTCTGTGAAATAATCGCGAAGCGAGACCTTGCAATTAAATTTGTTTTGCTGAAGTAACGGTAAAAGGCCTCGGCAAGAAGACGTGTGTGAAACCAGTGGAAAGCTTCCTATGATTGACAAGTTGGGCTATTTGTTTATCTCTCTTTTGGTATGTGTGTCAATATTTTTTGGATCCCTGAAATCGATGCGTTTATTGCCGTGATGAAGGCTTCATTCTGTTGTTTTTATTTTGCTACTGATGTCATTTCACGTGTACTCGCTGACTTGATATCCTTAGGTGTGTTCTTGAATTGTTTACGAGATTTGAAGACTTCAGGTGATGGAATCGCGAGACGGACTAATTGGTGCGTGATTCAGTCTCAGCAATCATGGTTGTGTTTAAAAAAAATATTTTTCTGTATTTTCTGTGTGCAGGCGGAATCCTTGCGAGGAGCAGTTGATGGAAAATGGAAGAGGACAAACCATCCGACGCAACACTGCCCCGCGTGGCCTATTTCCAACACGAAGACATCGGCCTGTTCCACTATGGACGGGAGCATCCGATGAAGCCGTTTCGTATTCGGATGGCCGACAGCCTCGTGCGCTCGTACGGACTGCTGGATTTGAAAAATATTACAGTGCACAACACGCCAACAGCGTCACGCGATGACCTGACGCGATTCCACGACGCTGACTATGTACGCTTTCTAGAAACTGCTGAACAAGAAGCAGAAGAAGAGCCAAGTAGTCGTGCTCGGTTTAATATTGATGAAGATTGTCCAGTGTTTCCTGGCATGTACGACTTTTGCTTGCTGTCTGCTGGTGGCTCTATTGCCGGCGCACGTCTGCTCAACCGCGGTGACTGTGACATTGCTATCCATTGGGCCGGAGGGCTGCATCATGCTAAACGGGTGAGAATCTACGAGGTATAGACCAGTGTTCTCCAACGAGTGGTCCGCGGACCGGCGCCAGTCCGTGGGAAATTTTCAGCATAGTACATTTCTTAAAAGTAGCAATGAACTCCGTTATAATTTTCTAAAACTTTGGAAAGACGATGGGAGTTGATATCATTTGATGAAAAATAAAAGCTGGCTTTTCTCCTAAGAACACTTCAAACAAATTTTTACCCACTAAAATAAACTATTTTAATTTTTAATTCCAAGAAACCTTTTTTCAAGCCCGCCTTTCTAAGTTTTTGATGAAATTAAGCTATAGCTGCTTTGGAGGTGCTTAACTTAATTTTTGAAAGAAGCAGAAGATTTTATATACCTGCCGTAAACTCTATCAAGCAAAATGTTTTCAAGTCTGTGAAAATGTTGCCGTAAACTCTATCAAGCAAAATGTTTTCAAGTCTGTGAAAATGTTATGAATCTTTGCCGATCCGCAAAATTTTTTTTAATGGAAATTTGCTGGTCTGCATACCCAAAAAGGTTGGGGAACACCGGTATAGATCACTGTATATTTGCGCCAATATAAGCTTTCATGCAGATTTTTCATGCACAAAATTTAAATTCCATGAATATGCTAATGTGCTTTATTATTTTGAGTATCACGCCACGTCGTCACCTTTTTTTCTCAAAATTTTGAAAAAAGGAGGGTGCACGTGATAGGCAAATAAAAGTTTTTCAAAAGGTTTTAGAGGGTTATCAAGTGTGCATTATAAACAATCATAGTGATACATTTTTGACCAATTTTAACAGAAAAATGTATTTCAATGAAAAATTGAAAATTAATTGAACGCAGGTCTAATTCATGGCTAAATTCAAATTTGGGTGTCCTTATTTTTGAAATATATGTATTTATTCAAGTACTGTACCACGCGCCCCTGAGTAAACCGCACACCCCCATTTTTATGCAAGAAATTTTTCTTAAAACCTATCCCCGTGTGAGATGCGAACCTTAGTTTTTTGTTGCTCTAGAGATTTATGAATTGTGAATTTTTTGTGTGGATCCATTTTCCCCTATTGACATTTTGTGTTTCCTGCGTTTTACTGTCCACAGCTCCCTCAATTATAGGAATATCTTCTGCTTCCTCTACTTCCTGTTACATCTTTGACTGATTCCTGAAATTGCTATCCCTTCAAACATTATTTCCCATGAACAATGAGACTTGGCACCACGGATTTCTTCTTGAATTTTTTTTTCAATGTACCCACATACCATGCGCAGGGTTTTTGAAAAGTTTTCCTCAAAACTTTTATGTCCGGGTGCCACGCGCACCCTTTCTTTCTGCCTTAAATTCTTGGAAAAAGGTGCGCGTGGTACTCAAGTAAATTTGGTAATTTTAGCATTAGCTGCGTTATTGAATAGGGGGTGTGCATCTAACTTGGGGATACAATTTTATCAAAATTTGAGGCTGAAAATCTATTACTCAAGTAAGCACGCTAACCCTCTTGCTTATCTAATGTTACGACTTCCAGGAACCTAAACTTTCTGACAAAGTTCAGGCTTTCCCCAGAACAGGAAAAACTGCGTCACACAATCCCTGCAGGTCCTCTTCAGTCTCGTGCATTTGAAGTGCTAACAGCTAACCATATCTTGGTTATTTTTAGCTTTAATTCCGAAGTAACTGTAGAGAAGAAATGCTCGATCGTATTGTGGGCAGCAAACAGGAAGATTCCTTGGTATAAGTGTATATTTATGCGAATGTGAAGACCCCCACACGTTTTTGAGCTTCTAAAACAGGCAAAAAATACGGTTCTCATATTTGCGTGAATACGATATTGAATTAAATTTTTTTACACACTTGAAACAGGACTCGGCCTCCGGATTCTGCTATGTCAATGACATCGTCCTGGGCATCTTGGAGTTGCTACGCGTTTACAAACGCGTGTTATACGTGGATATCGACGTGCACCATGGAGATGGTGTTGAGGAGGCCTTCTACACGACAGATCGCGTCATGACACTGTCGTTGCACAAGTTCGGGAATTTTTTCCCGTATTCGGGCGACGCCGGGGACGCGGGCGCCGGATCTGGCGTCGGCTATGCGCTCAATGCGCCGCTTCACGACGGCATGGACGACGCCAGTTATGTGGCGCTGGTGGCGCCGCTTTTGCGTCAGGTCATGACCCACTTCGCGCCGGATGCGGTAGTGCTTCAGTGTGGTGCTGACTCGCTCAGCCAGGACTGGTTGGGCACCTTCAACCTTACTCTCAAAGGTCATGGTTTCTGTGTCGACTTCTTCAGACGTCAGGGTGTACCGCTTTTGTTGCTAGGCGGCGGCGGTTACACCATTAGCAATGTGGCGCGATGCTGGACTTGGGAGACTGCCGTTGCACTGTTGGGTGCTGAAGAAGCAAGTGAAATGCTTTTGGAAGATGGTGGAACCGTGCCCAGGACTGACCCTTACGTGGACTATTATCTGCCGGATCTGAGCCTGCGTGTAGACGCCACAAACCGACCAAACCTCAACAGCGCCGAATACCTCGATTATCTCCGGGTTAGATTCGGAGAAGCCCTGCGGAATCTGCCGCACAGACCGTCGGTCCAGTTGGGACAAGATGTTTCCAAGATTGCCGCCGAAGCTCGAGTATCTTCGAATTGCCGTCAAATGAAGACTGGTAGAAAGACGGTTGAGGATGGTTTGCCTGAGTGGCTGACGACACTTTGGGATGTTGACAGCAATGATAAGGACAGAGCCGATCGACAGCGACAGCGTGGGGACAGGCCAACTGTTTTTTCGGTTGTGCCCGACAATGCGTACCTCAATTCACTCACGTCGTACTTTTCGACGCCCCTTTTCGCATCCTCAACTGTGCGTCCCTAGTGAAAATATTTTTGTCTCCGTCGTGGAGTGAGCGCGTGGATCTCATAGCCATAGCCAATGAGGATTACATATTGAGGGATTTTGACTAGGTCTGTGCCTAGTTCGTGAAGTAAATTTGCTCAATCGTGTTTTTTTCTAACCTACTTGCGCGTGTCGTCTGTGATGAGGCAACAAGTGCTGCCGGATTCCGTTTGTCTTTTTAATTTTTCACTCAAAATCGCCTTCAATAGGCCCTTGATGACCAGCAGGTGGACAAGTGTAAATATCATTGAAAAAAACACCGGGTTTTTTATTTAATTTTTGAATGAATACGCCAGAAAATTTAAAGTTTTTGAGATGCAATTGGATTTTCATTTGCAGAATACAGTACACGGAAGGTGAGAAAAAATATGGACAAGTAATTAAGAGCCTTTTTTTCGACCTTGTTCCCGTTGAAGTGGATCTTATTTTTGAAGTTATTTGGTGAGAGAAAAAATGCTTTGAACATACCCCCAGCTATTGAAATGATTGCTGGATACCGGAGGGGGTTGCAAATTCGGAATTATTTATTCTATTCTTCAACCTGCTGTTGCTGTCTTTCGCATGTTTTACGAGGAAGAATGTGAAGGTGTGGGTTGATGCGGCTGAAATGAGGACGTGTTTAGGTTATGTCAGTTTTTGGACCAAAAGAAGATGCTTGTCGGCTAGACGGGTCTACGAGCGTCTTGCATTCCCCGTGCGTAATGCAAGCAGTGGACAAGAGAAGAGCGATCCTACAGTTGAACATGTGAATGTGGGCACAATTGGACATGTGGACCATGGCAAAACGACGCTGACTGCAGCCATCACGAAGGTGAAAATATTTTTGGATAAAATTGGTGTACTGTAAAATCTCCTTGTGAATAATTGGCTCTTCTTTCCCTTTAGGTTCTAGCCAAAAGAGGCAATGCGTCGTACGTGAGTTACGACTCCATTGACCGAGCACCTGAAGAGCGTCGGCGCGGCATCACCATCAATGTGGCACACGTGAGCTACTGGTCATTATTGAGCGGGGGGCGACGTCGACGTTATGCTCACACAGATTGTCCGGGCCATGCAGACTATGTGAAAAACATGATTTCTGGAGCATCGCAAATGGACGCCGCCATCCTCGTCGTGGCCGCTAGTGAGGGCGAGATGCCACAGACGCGGGAGCACGTGTTGCTCGCTAAGCAGGCCGGTGTGTCCAAGGTTTGGCTCTCCTCTTTGTTGTGGGAAGATGATGAAACTAGTAACTTCGATACTGTAACTCGAAACTGCAAATTTCAAATTTTTTGTCAAGTATCTGTCTGAATTACCTGAGAAACAGTGTAATAAAAACTTCCCTAATACCTCCCTAAATCAATTTCTCTGGCGGTTATTTGGCTATTATTTTATTGTCCCAGGAAAGAGGAATGGGATAAAATATAATTTTATGTTTTGGAAGGAATTGAAAGATTGATCGGGAAAATATACCCTTGCCTCCAAGTCTAGCATCCGGACAATTCGTTCAAGAAGCAGTTGAAGGCCCAGAATATCACCAATTAGTATTTCCGGTAATTCTTCTTTTTTCCCCGACAAAAATGTTGGTTTCCCTTACTCGAAACCTCCCCAACTTGATTTTCTTCCCGATCCCTTGAAGTTCGACTGAAAAAGGTTCGACTGTAATACGTGCGATGGATGTATTGCTGGCAGATGGTGGTGTTTCTCAACAAGGCCGACCTGGTGGATGCGGATGTGCTTGAGCTAGTGGAACTGGAGATGCGGGAATTGTTGGACAAGCATGGGCTGGACGCGGAAAAAACGCCGGTTGTGTGTGGGTCTGCGCGATTGGCTGTAGCAGGCGACCCTGGTCCTCTGGGGGAGCCGGCAGTGGATCGTCTCGTGGCTGCCCTGGATGCCTACGTGGAGCCGCCTGTGCGGGACGAAGCGCCGCCATTTGTGATGCCCGTGGACAACGCATTCTCAGTCACGGGCCGCGGGACAGTTGTGACTGGGACACTGGTTCGTGGCATTGTGCGTCGTTTGGACAAAGTTTCACTCGTGGGCTTTGACGAGTGTCGATCCACTGTGGTGACGGATGTGCAGGCCTTTCGTGAGTCTGTGCCGCAAGCCGTGGCCGGAGATCACGTGGGTCTTCTCTTGCGAGGTGTGCCAGTGCGGAGCGTGTTGCGTGGAATGCTCGTGTGTGGCTGTGATGGTGACGAAGGCGTGTTGAGCGTCACAAATCGGTTCACTGCTCAATTGTACCTGCTGTCGGCGAGTGAGGGTGGACGCCAGGCCCCTGTGCGCACAGGTTATACGCAGCAGCTCTTCAGCAGCACGTGGAACCTGCAGGCCCGCCTGGACCTGACGCCCGCAGAGCTGGACATGTTGTTACCTGGGGACCACGCAACAGTGGGTGTGACGTTGCTGCGGAAGATGCCATTACTGGCGAACCAGACGTTTACGATGCGTGAGAATGGCGTCACAGTGGCGACAGGACGGTTGGTGACGCGTCTGGATCCTGTGGTCATAGCAAACGCCAACTTGGCCAAAGCCGCTGGTTGGTAGCCGGAAGAAGCAGACAATGGAAGAAAAAATCAGCTGTAGTTTTTTTTTTGTGTGAAAGAGAGAACAAAAAATTGGAAAGGAAAAGAAAATAATTTGAAACGCTTTTTTATTTATCTTGGATTCATCTCTACTTGCGCTCTGAGGGCTTAATTTAAAGCGAAAAAAATTCTCTTCTTATATTCCTCCAGCTTTTGTTGATTATGATGACGGCTGTGACCAGTGTTGAACGGAGCTTGAGCACAGTGTTGCAATGACGGAGTTTGTTGATGGCTGGAATATTGTGGGCGTACTCGGTGAGGGCGCGTTCGGGGACGTTAAGCTGCTGGAATGCCCGGATCAGGGTTCATTTGTGGCCATGAAGTGCGTGGATATGGGCCGTCACCCAGGTGCTGCAGCGGACGTGCGCAAGGAGATTGCCGTCCATCGCCTCTTGGACCATCGCAATGTTCTTAAATACATTGGCCACCGGACAGTTGGCCCAGTAGATTACATCTTCCTCGAATATGCCCCGAATGGCGAGCTGTTTGACAGGTGCGTGTGAATTTATCCTGTTTCCTTTCAAGTGTGAGTGGGACCCCGACGTACGGCCGATTCGACTGGGGGACATTCGACAGCTTGAAAGCAAATCTGCTCCAACATCTGGACAATGTCTCGAAATACGGAGACTTGACCAACATTTCGACATATGCAAAAATTTCATTTTCTGAAATTTTGATATCTCCTGAACAAATTGAGCTTTTTATCTTCACAAGAAGTAAAAATAAATAAACTCTACTTACAAATTTAATATGTAGTAAAATATGTAGTTTAATATGTAGTATTTCAATATTCAATGCAGGCTAATTTTTTCAGAGTTATTTCTATCAACTGTGCGCAGTGTGAGAAGACTTGTTTGTTTTTGGTCTCCTTTTCATGCCATAAGATCACATTATTTGGTTTTCTTCTACACATTTATTTTCGGATCTTTTAGTTGAGGAAGATTATTTTTTGGTAACTTTTTCCTAATATTTATCAACAGGAGAACCAATTAAATACATACCCATTAACGTCTAAGGGCGAAGGTGATCCGAAATGCGGACGTTCCAACTTGATGACAGGTCCAAGCACGAATTATGTCCGCATCTCGAAGCCCTACTGTACTTTTCTTTTCTAAAGCAAGATTGTTTGCTGAGTGTGTTTGTTTGGTGTGTGTAGGATTGAGCCTGACATTGGGATGGCTGTGCCAATGGCCCGTCGCCTGTTCGGCGAGTTACTCTGCGGACTGGAGTATTTGCATGGACGTGGGATAGCACACAGGGATATCAAGCCCGAGAACCTACTCCTCGGCGTGGGCGACACCCTGAAGATATCCGATTTCGGGCTTGCCACAGTGTTCCGGCATCACGGTCGGGAACGTCTCCTGGATAGGGCATGTGGTACTCTTCCGTATGCAGCACCCGAGGTGTTGTCGGGTGGGCCCTACCGCGGTGATCACGCAGATCTTTGGTCAGCAGGCATTGTGCTCGTGGCAATGCTCACTGGAGAATTGCCATGGGACAAGGCGGATGTGGAGACGAGTCCCGAGTTTGCCGCCTGGACAGGACTGGATACTGGCCGACTGCCGCCACTTCTCTGTCGACTTGAGCCGGACGCGTTGTGTCTCGTCAGGGCCATGCTGTGCGCCAAGCCCGAGGCACGGCTCAAGCTGCAGGCTGTTTTGTCCAGTCGCTGGATGCGTGTTAAGGATTTGAGCGTGTTGAATGTGGCAGTGGGAACGGTGAGAACCAAACATTTTTATGCCAGACATAGGAGAGTTTTGGGATTAGTGGGATTTTCCGCCAAAAAGCCGTTCCAATCCCTCCGGGTGACCTTTCATTTTTTTTTTTTGCTTTTTGGGACAACTATCTCGTGGTTGAAGCATCTTAAAATCGAGAAAATCAATAAGTTTGATGCTTCCTTTAAAGATTGAATTCTTGAAATTTGTTCGATTTACTGAAATTTAGGTCAGTTTTTACTTTTTTTAGTCTAAGTTTTGTTTTTAATTTTTGTCAGATTAATCTAGGTTTCTTCTGATATGCGAATTTTTCTTCGATGAAATTTTGTGCAAAAAATTGTTGGGAAATTAATTTTATGTCACCAAAAAACGGAGGTTGAGAGGCCGAAACATTTAAGGGAACACGGTATGGACGTTCGCAGCGACGGATTATTGGTGGAAATTCCTCAAATAATCAAGAGTTTTGTTTTCATTGTTATATATTTAGAGTTATTGTGTACCGGTAATTAAATTTTTTGGTTTTTATTCTTGCTATGTCTTTTCCTTCCTCCTTTTCTACCCTTGTCCATTCAGGATTGTGACGATCTAGATGGAGATGATATGAAAGACAGGATCAAGCGCCCCCGCCGATTGACGTGCTCACAACCTGTAGCGGACGTGGCCCTTCTGCAGTCGCCAGTGCGCGCCCTGCTGCCATGTTCAACGCAGCCCAATTCGAACTTACTGCTAGACTCCCAGCAGTGCTTGGCCACGCAGCAGTCGAGTGCACCTCTTCACCTCATTTTGCGTCGCATGACCCGGTTCGTGGTGCCCTGTGATGTGGATGAGACGTTGAGTCTTTTGGAGCGAGTGGCGGCGGCCCAGGGCATGATAGCGCATCGGCTGTCAATGACAAATGTGGCAAATGCGAGTAACACAGTTCCAATGCCACCGAGTGCGACTGTTGTGGGTAGGGACCGACGCAATGCCCGCCTTGAGTTGCGCGTCACCGTGCTGGCCCAGGAAAACGAGGCAGATCAAACAGAGCTGCGTGGGAAACAGGATGAAGACGAGGATGTAGAAAAGGAAAATAGGAGCCGCAGTAGCAACACCAAGGCTCGGTGTCTGCTTGATTTCCGGCTTTCTCGTGGAGATGGGCTCGAGTTCAAGCGAACGTTTCTACGCCTCAAGGAAGGATTCGCAAAACTTGCAGCACCGATCCGGTCGGCCGTTGCCTGGCCATCGTGATGAGGCCGTGTACTCTTTGTCATGCAGATTTCAATCATTGTTTTCATCGACTTTTTTGTACATTTTCCATTGACAACGAGACTTGATGACTGTGGTTGATGAAGAAAAGAAAAAAAAAGTAGCTCCTTGCTGGGATCTGTATTTTTTTTCGTGTATTTCAGTCGTAAGTTATGCGGCGGAGAGAAAGATAATGAAGGCAGATTTTGGGGAGGCGTCCTCCCTCAACTGAACTTTTGCGATTTCATGCATTGAATGAACTTACAGGTATGAATGAGTGATGTTGTTTTCGGTTTCAAGTGGGATTTTCAAAGTGGGACGACGTCTCTTGAAATTTTGGGCGCCAGATTGCTTGTGAGCACTTCTGTGTACGAGGTGTTTTTTATTTTTATTCTGGTAAAGAGCACGACAGAACATTTAAAAAATTTCCAACTTATTGGACTTGTGTTTTTGCTCCATTGAATTGGTCGGTCACGCATACGGTAGTTTAGCATTGTGCGAGTGATCCGAGATGCCGAAGAAATTTGCGTCGGAGAATACCAAGGCTGCGGCGGCGCGGGCGAGGAAAGATGCCGCGAGCAACGAGGAGAAGCAGCGCCGATTGAAGGCCGAGCAAGACGAGCTGTGGAAGGACGAAGACAAGTTGGTCGCAAGGAAGCAGCAACGAAAGGAAGAACGTGAGCGCAAGAAGGTAGAAGTGTCGAGTAAGAAAGCTGAGGTGAAGGCGTTGCTCGAGGCAGAGACGGGCACTGCAGCAGGAGGCAAGGATTTGTCTGCCGCAGCCAAAGTCACGCGAGCGCAGATCCAGGTGTGACAGTCAAAACATTTTAATGCAGTCGAACCTCTTTGAGGCGAACTGCAAGGGACAAGCAAAAAATTCCAGTTGGGGAAAGAAGCATTTTTGTTGAGGGAAAGAATGAAGAATTTCAGGAAATTGTAATTGGTGATATTCCGGGCCTTAAATAACTTCTTAAATGAGTTGACAGTATGCTGAATTTTGTGGCAAGGGTTTATTTTTCTACATTAGTCTTTTGCTTCCTTTAAAATCACATAAATTTAAATTTTTACTAAGTTTATCTTTCCTGTGTCGATTAAATAATAGCCATAAGGCCTTTAGGAAATGTGAGTTATGGGGGTTTGAGAGGTTTTTTATGCGTCGTTTCTAAGAAAATTCAGGCAGGGACTTGAAAAATATTTGACAGAGGGAGGTACATTATCTTAACGGGTGGGGTCTTTCTTCATTGCTTGGAAGAGTGGTGCATGGATTTGTATCATTTCTAGGCGGCGCAGGAACGTGAAGCCGCCAGAACAGCCAAGGCAGCAGCTGCAGGAGGAGGCGTTAGTGGCAGGGGTGCAACGACGGCGGCTACAGACGTGACACACCTGGAAGTACCGTTGGAAGAGAACTTGAATCGTTTAACGCTGGAAGAAGCTGGACACACTGCACGCAGTGTAGACGAAGCAATCGTGCTTTTAAACGCCAAGGATGCAGCATCCTTGGAAAGCGCAGATCGGCACCCTGAGCGTCGCGTTCGGGCTGCATATGCCGAATTTGAAGCTTTACGGCTTCCTATCCTGAGGGCTGAGCAGCCCAATCTTCGGCTTTCTCAGCTCAAGCAGTTGTTGCGCAAGGAATGGCTCTGTGCACCGGAAAACCCGATGAACCAGCGGACGTTGGCGTACAATGCAAAACCGACAGCGACGAACTCGTGATCCGTGTCGCATTCGTGCGTTTATGTTTTGCTTTCCGTTCGTTTCATTCATTGCACGGCTTCCCGCTTGTACATTTACTTACTCACTCACTCGCATTTTAGCTTCATCATTGTTAAGAAAGTGATAAAATTGGCAATTCATCCGTACAGTCCGGCTTATTTCTTGCGTATGGGCAGGTATAACATGACATCACGTTATGGTTTCGACGTCTATACCTCTATAAGAGGACGGTACTCCACGTTTTATTGCCACTTGGCGAAATTGTCCTAATGGAGGTAAAAATTGTATAAATCGTGAGATCTACAAAAATAAAACGTTCCCTCGTTCGTACGTTGTACAGACGACAACTGAGAGTACGTGTTGCAAAGGAAATAAGATTCGTAGGTATGCTGGTCATACCTCATTTTTTGGAAGGCGATGAAGCTCATGGGAATGTTCGTGAGCTTCTGTTATGAATTTTCTTGCAAGGCTGTATTACTGTAGTGAGGCATTACGATGACTTACAAGAGCGACATCTGGTTATATTACGCTTCACCAGTCACTCTTCCCAACTGCTTAGTCACACCTATCTCTAGATCAGCAGCACGATGGAGAGGAGCGACTGAGAGCAGCACAAGGAAGTCATTCTGTTCTTGGACCTCGACTTGTACAGTCCTTCTGACCTTTTAACCCTGACTCAGTGTTGTGTTGTGACGTCGTTGAAATAAACTTGTACTTCAAGCCGTGATTGAAGATTTATTCCCCGAAACTCTTACTGGGGGCTCGTCCGTTAAACTTGGACCTGTGATTGATCGCAAGCTGTACCCAACGTTCACCAAAATGAAATGCAACACCAACAATTCTAAAGCCGCGGCGGAAGCCGCGATGGGAGATGCCAAAGAATTCTGAATCCAAGACGGGCAAAACTGGCGCTGCGTCCAAACGACCAGGCAGCGAAGCCTCCGATGCATCCAGCATCTGGGAAAGTCTTCCAATCGCCACGCTACAGCTCCTCGTTGATACCTATCGCCTGGGCAGACCTACCCGCAACTCCAAAGCAGAATACGCAGCGCAGCTGGACAGGTTCCAAATCCCTGTCACAGCCTTACAAGCCCTGCCACGTCCCCCTGGCATAGCTCCTTCTCGTGAGCTGGCAACAATCGTCGAAGACCCACAGCAGATCCCCATCCTCCCGCCGAAGTGGTTTGCCAACCTGCACAGCCAGGACCTGCCAAAGCAGAACAAGAATGAGGCCTTTGAAGACTACGTCATCCGTCTTCGCAACCTCCCGGCAGTTGACAACATCACCGAGGTACACCTGATCCATTGCTTGCTGCAGAACACCTTGCCGCACATCCAGAGCATGGGGAACTGGCACCACAAGAGGGGAACCACTGACTTCAACCAACTCGTCAAAGTGATCACCCGAAGACATCCCACGCCTCATCTGGACCGCCTCGAAACCTTCCGCTGCATGAAACCGGAGTCCGACGAGTCCTACTTCAGTTTCGCCAAACGCATGCGGGACCAGTACAAAGCATTCCTCTGCTTCCCTCCGAACCTGCTCGAAATGGGAGAGCCGTTCCTGCAGCAAATCTTCATGGAGCAGCTGTTCTTCATCTCAGACGGCGGCCTGAAGGACAAACTGCAAAAGAAGTGGCTCCAGCAACCTACAATGACCTGGGATGACATGATCGAGATTGCCGAATTGTATCAACTCAACCACCGCGTCCGAAACTCATCATTGTCAGGTACCGTGAAAAACAACTTCAGACACCAATCATCACTACCACCTTGCCAATGGTGCCAGCATCACGGTCGTTACATGCGGCACGGCAGCCACGAGTGCCAATTACGCCCCAGTTCGAATACTACATCGCGAAATGAAAACCCATCTTTGAGTTCCGCGGCTCCCCAGACAAATACAAATACTACGCGTTTAAATAATGACTCGGGTGCTTCTCTTTGTTTTCATTGCCAGAAACCTGGCCATTTTTTAAAAGATTGTCCGCAGATCCAGGGAAACGCCAAAACTGCACAGTGAATGTGGCGCACTGTGCTTCCTTGGAACTCTCAGCCGCACCTCCTCCTATCGTGCTCCAGCTTAGCATTTCAGGTCAGAATTTCTCCGCGCTCCTGGACATCGGAGCATCACATTCATTTATCTCAGCAGATCTTGTGAGTTTACTTAAATTACAGACTGATTCCTCCGAAATTGCGGTACAGACCGCTCTTGGCGATAATGCCCTTCAAACAAATCATTTGGTACAGCTAGATTTCATGTTTCATGGGACGAAGATGCGCGCTCCGTTTATCGTATTGCCTAAACTCTCCAAATTCCCCCTAATCTTGGGAAAAACGACGCTTGCGCTCTTACCTCTCGCGGTTAACCTGGACGGTCAACAAATTTTTACCGGGTTTCAGGAAATTACGGCGGTTCCCGCACGACCGACCATGCCCACAGGGCACGGCATAAATTTTGTCGACGGCTCCGCGGACAAAAGGGGTCAAATCGAATGTATTCTAACGCAGTACGAATCCGTAGTGTATCAATGGTCCGGTCGCAGGGGCCTGTTCGTGGATCATGTGGCGCGGTTACCGACGATAGAGGCTGCCCCCCCCCCGCAACGCAGCAGTACCGCCATTCTTCCGATCGGCATATGTCTTTTGCGGAGTTAATAGATCTATATCTAGAAGATGGTATCTTAGAATGAGCGGAATTGCCCTATAATTCTCCAGCCTTTTTAACCGCAAAAAAATGTCTTGACCAAACAGCCCCAGTTCAGAAACGCTGGCGGCTAGTGGAGGATTATACGGCGGTGAACGAAATACTAATTGCAGATCATTATCCAATGCCAGTAATTCAGGAATTGTTAGACGCGCTCGGCAGAAACAACCAGTACTTTTGTACGATAGACCTTCATTCCGCATTTCATCACGTCCCGTTAGCACACAAGGACAGACCTAAAACGGCGTTTACCACCCCGCGGGGACAGGTCCAGTACAAAGTTCTACCCTTTGGTTTAAAAACGGGACCCGCGATTTTTCAAAGAACGATCAATACGATCCTGCTGAAGCATTTGAACCGGCGCTGTTTAGCATATATGGACAATATCATTGTCTTTGGCGAGAACTTCAGTACGCTCTGCGAAAACCTTGCGGAAATCCTCAAAACCTTGCATAAAGCGGGAGCAGCTATTGACATCCAAAATTCAAAATTTTTAGCTAAGAAACTTGTTTTTTTGGGGCACAAATTTGATCAAACCGGAACGCGACCAGCAGAAAAGAATGTCACCGCAGTACGCAACTTCCCGCGCCCAGAAACTACGCGACAAATGTTACGCTTTTTAGGCATGGCAACTTATTTGCGCGCGCACTTGCCAACCAATTTTGCTGATGTGGAAAAATTACTCCGTGGGACGATTCCAAAAAAACCAGCAGTGAAACTCGACTGGAAACCGGATTCTCTCCAGGCATTCAATCATCTCAAAGAAGTTCTTGCGGATACAGCAAAACTCGAAAGAGTGGATCCAAAACTGCCAATCGCGGTACATTGTGACGCATCATCTACGAGTCTAGGGGCGGTATTGGTTCAAACCGACAAAACCGGATCAGAGCAAGTAGTGCAATACGCAAGCAGGGTATTAACCGGAGTGGAAACCTGCTATACGAATACTGAAAGGGAGTTACTCGCGGTGGTATGGAGTGTGACAAAGAAATTTCGTCATCATCTGGAGCATCGCAAGTTTACGGTTAATACAGATCATAAAGCACTCCTTGGGGAGCAGAAAACAGAATGGTTGATTAGTATGCGCATGAAGTTAGCTAGTTTTGATATGCAATTAGTTTGTAGACCGGGCAGCATGCTTCAGGGTCCCGACGCGCTTAGTCAAATTTTGCTGAACGCAGCAGACGCGCGTATGATCCCGCCCATTGAGGACAGACCGGACATTATCGCAGCGTACCACGAGGAGTTGGGACACGCGGGGTGGAAAAAAGTGTACCAGACCCTACGCAAACGTTTTTTTTTGCCCAAACTCAGGCAAGACGTATGGTGGCAAATCCAATCTTGCTCCTTATGTTTTCAGTACAATATTCGGACCCAAAAAGTGGGCACCAAGTTGAGCTATATTAATTCAACAAGACCGCGAGAAAGGCTCACACTCAATTTTTACGGCCCGCTGCCCTATACCCCGGAAGGATTTTGGTACGCAATAGTCGCAGTCAACCATTTCAGCAAATTTATGTTCCTGCGCCCAGTGTTAAAAGCCTACGTTACAACGGTAATACCCTTAATTTCAGAAATTTTTCAGCAAACCGGGGAATTTGAAACAGTCCATACGGATTGTGACTCAGTATTTAGAAGTAATACGTTTCGACTCTTTTTACGAGGGCTCGGCATCAATCAACATGTCGCGCAAGCCACTCACCCGGAAGGGAACGGATGCTGCAAACAAGCAATCCGATCTTTGATGCAACTGCAGTCAAAGGCTACCAAGGGAAAAGAAGATCAATGGGAACGTCACTTACAAGAGTCAGTCAGGGCCTACAACATCACGCCTCACGCGACAACTAATCAAACCCCTACCGAAGTAATGTTTGGATTACCCCCCCGCCTAAATGCCAACGATCAGTTCCAGGTACCGGACTTAACTCCAGAAAAGCAACCACAGTGGCCAACCGCAGAAAGCATGAAAGCCAGGGAAGAAGTCACCAACCAGGCAAACAAGCAGAGAAATCGACACTTCCGGCCAGGGGAAATGGTGGCAATTTGCCCACGTCTCCCAACAGTGAATACTCACGCTGCAAATCGGCAGTTTCGTGTTCAGAAGTTGGGTCCTTATATGGTACTTTCTTATCAAGGCAACGGCAAGTATCGCGTCGGTGCGGGTCCAGATATTATTAGAGCCAATGCGTGGGAAATGATTCCATATCGCGGACTCCCGCGAGAACCAGCGACTTCTTATCGTACCCTGAGCCAAATAACGGAACTGGAGCAAACCCCAAAAATAGCTCCGCTGGACCATATTTACGCGAAAGACCTGGGTCTGCGCCCGCCTGATATAGTAATCAATATGAACAGTGACCATCCTTATCACCAGCCTGCAGCGTGGTGCCCAAATCAGCAATCGGTTGAAACGGAACATCGTTATTTTCGAAGAAAAAGAA